TACTTGTTTATCACCTAGGTTTGATAATAATTTTCTATATTAAAGTCAGAGTTTTTAATTGGTCAATATTAATTATGACATTAATTAATTCATACGTATATTATACTTCTCGATTCGTCAGTTTGTTAAAAAGAAACCTGGTTCTATGGACGGATAACATAAAACAATTGGAAGAAACTATTCGCACTAAATCAGAAAAAGAAAATGATATCATACATCAAAACTGCCTCTGTGGCCGAACGGTTACCATGCCGGACTGCGACGCAGAGGTCCCAGGTTCGATTCCCGAGCCGGGAGAAACATTCGTATGGCCTACATTTCTTTCTCTCGTGAATTTGAGTGTAATTTGTGGTTGTCTATGTGTGTGTCCATGGCACCCGCGACACAGGGTTTCCCTAGTGCGGGGCTATGTTGAGTGTGTGCGTTATTATTATTATTATAAAGCGAATGTTGTGTACAATTTTTCAATTACTTCAAAGACATTTTGGAAGCATTCTGTATTGTGAAGAAGACGTTTCAGTTATTAGTGAGACAACATTTTTGTTATACCCCTATATATACATATATACATTTATTTACATATTATAATACATATCGCTCATGAAACCAAACACTGTCGTAACTCAAAAATCATAGAATTGAGAAAACAATCTGAAAATTCAAAAAACTAATGATGAAATTTTAAGAAACGAATACTGAATGGAACCAATAAATTTATATTCTCGTTTATAAGTGGATAACTAATTATTATGTATTAAACAAAAATAATCCCATTATTCGCAATAAGATTGATTCATTAGTTTATATTTTTTAAATCGTGTTTTCCCAATTTGAACGTTTTTGGGTTACGATTATTTGGTTCCATATGCGACTGGTGTGCACATGGTGTACACCATTGGTCTAAGAAGTTCTGTGTGTGTGCTATGACCACATAAATAATTAATCTAGTTATGCTGATTGTATTCACCTTAGAGTCACTGCCGTCAGACAGTACAATGAATCATACTAATAATTTTATCGTTAAACTTAAATTACACACTTTTTTGGCAGTTAAAAGTTAACTGAGTTTTGCCCGTAGGTACAGAAGAACATTATTATACTTACGAAACTTGAAATTTACTGACAATATTCAATGCAAAGTCAAATGCAAGACGATGCACATTGTTATGTTTATACAATTAGTAGTTTCTATTCAAAGTATGTGTTTTTATTCCATATCAAATAAAAAGCATCTCACGGTAGGTATTGCTAGTCAGTTCAATGTTTCTTTTCAAGTAAGCACTTAAGTTGTTCCAATGGATTTCAGGTATTGTTCAATATAATAGACATGTTTTTTCGCGGCCTTATTGATTTACAATGTTTAATAGAATTGAGCTTCACAAATACAGTTTACGGAAAGGTAAGCACTCACAAACAATCAAAATTTCTAATTGAAAATTGAATTTCTCATCGTTCACTCAATGTGCATATTTGCAATTTTCACAAGTGACACATAATATATATTTTAGTGGGTGTTAATTCGCATCTGTATTATCAGTAGCAACGGGGTGACCAACGGGACGCATATAATATATAACTGACGGCCTTGTCGTTTGGAGTGATTTCATCGAAAACCTTGACATTTATATTGTTTGCAGGATATGAGCTCGCTTAAGCGATGTTTGTAGTTTGCCTTCTCAGGACCGTTCTAATGTTAGTCGTCATATCCACGGATTGTGAAGAGTTCTACTTGGCTTTGGAAGACGCTGCCTGTGCATGTTTAACACTTATAATAATTCAGGGTATAATAATTCAGGTTGTGATTAATATAAATAGTTACTGTAGTATTCACAGGAATTTGGAAAATAAATTTCTTTATCCAATCCTTAAGTGGAAAGTCGGACCGTTCGGGACTGACTTTATTGAAGGATGTTAAAAAACTGATGCCATTAAAATGGGCTAAATGCGGCTCGGAATTTATTCCGTATTTATTTTATTATTAAACCTGTCTTGAGAATGGAACCAGCAGTGGATGCATATAAATATATAACCATAATAAATAAAAGATATACAATAATAGTAGGAAATGAAACTATTTTTCCGGATTTAAATCGCGTATATTTGTTTTTTCAAACAAACCGACGTTTCGGGCCCTTTACAGATCCCATTGTCACGGTTGACTGAGGTGGTACAGTCTTCAACCAGTTATGTCTAATATTGATGCAAACCACCTTATTTTTTCACTATAGTTACAATAGTTATTAATTAAATATCTTATTTTTAATTTTACAATGAAAACATTCTAATTCACGCTACATTCAGTTTTACAAATTATTTTATTGAATGTATTTTTATTAAGTACAATTTATTATTAATTATTAATATAAATTAGAATAAACTAAAACATATTAATTAGTACTGCAGTCTTATGTCTGTTTGGGATTTTTCATTAGAGGAAATACTGGATCTCAAACTGGTGGTACGGAGAAACCATCTTCTCTGTTGAAATTAGGATGTTTTTTAAATTTCTCTCGCAGCATCCTGGGTAGATAACGGACTTCTTTTTCAAAGACCTGGGGTTTATCAAACTTTATTGAATGTGTAGGTCTATCCATGACATGCTCGCAGACTGCAGACTTGTTTAGGCGACGGTGTTTGACATCAGCTATATGTTCTTTGACGCGGGTACAAATACTTCGCTTTGTTTGTTCAATATAAGAGAGACCGCACTCACAGTCAAGCTTGTAAACTCCTGCATCCTGTAAGGGGATGTTACATTTCACGGGTCTCAGGAACTGAGAAATCTTCCTCAGGGGCTTGAAATAGGTCTTGATAGATGCCCGCCTGAGGACTCTTCCGCTCTTGTCACACGATCACGATCACGATCTTAACACCTCTCACGTAAGGTAAGATGGCAGGTCTTCGCTCGACTGTTGGTGGTTTCACATGGGGCCAGCGGCATTGGCGTGGAATCTTCAAATTGAAGAAAACTCAACAACAACAAGCGAACTAGATTATTGTGAGAAACACTACCTACTATTGAGCGACAAGCTGATGGAAAATACGTCGTGCAAATGCCCATGAAACCCGATTACGAAGCCAAATTGGGAGCTACGAGATCGCAAGCGCTAGCTCAATTTCTGCAATTGGAGAAGAAGATGCAGAGAAATAAGGAATTTGAAGTTGAATATAAACGTTTTATGAATGAGTACATCTCCATGTGTCATATGAAACTTGTAACAGAAAGTGAGAAAAAACACGTATATTTACCTCACCACGAAGTTTTAAAGACGCAATTCACCACCACGAAGCTACGAGCAGTATTCAACGCCTCCTATAAAACAAAAACAGAGAACAGCTTGAATGATCTCATGTACAGCGGCCCAAACTTACAAAAGGACATGCTTACATTACTGATAAACTGGAGAACGTACAAATATGTATTCACTGCCGACATAGAAAAGATGTACAGACATATCTGGCTTCATGAAGATCAACAAAACCTTCAAACTATCATCTGGAGATCATCTCCCTGTGAACCTTTACAAGAATGGCAGTTGTGCACTGTTACCTATGGCACAAAGGCCGCGCCGTACCTTGCAATGCGCACCCTCCACCAACTGGCGCGAGATGAACGAAATAACCACCCGGATGCTGCGACCGTACTTGAAAACTACTTTTACATGGATGATTTGGTCTACGGACAGAATGACATTGATGCAGCAAAGAAAATGGTCAACGACTTGATTTATTTACTGAAAAAGGGGGGTTTCAACTTAAGGAAATGGATGAGTAACAATCAGAAAATTTTAGAAGATTTGGACGATGATCAAAAATGCAAACAAACTAACATCAACTTTAACCCAGAACAAACAACAAATACAAAAACTCTTGGAATGAGATGGAATCCTGCAACTGACAATTTTACATTTAACTGGAATTTACCTAAAAAAAACTTACTAAACGGTTTTTTTTGGGAGAAATTAGTAAACTGTACGACCCGCTTGGCTGACTCTCATCCGTGACGATAAAGGCAAAACTATTATTTCAAAAGGTGTGAGTCAGTAAAATGGCCTGGGATGAAAACCTACCCGAGGAAATTGTTAAAGAATGGGAAACAATGAGAAAAGATCTGCCAAATGTCAACATACTCAAAATTCCGCGGTGGCTACAATGTGAAGAGAAACATATGGAAGAATTTCTATATGTATGTAAAGGCGTGAATATACCTTTTGCGACGCGAGTGAAAAGGCGTTTGCTTGTGTCGTATACAGCAGGATGAAAATTGATGATGACGATTATGTAACTACTCTAATCGCTGCCAAATCTAAAGTCGCACCCCTTAGTAAAAAGATCACTTTACCACGAATGGAGCTTTGCGGTACCCTTCTACTGGCACAACTGGTCGAAAAGCTCACGAAAACTTTGAACAACTTAAACTTACACATACATTGCTGGAGTGACTCGCAAGTAGTCTTAGCATGGCTACAAGGCAATGTAAATAAATGGGAGCGTTACATTGCGCACAGAGTAACAAAAATAAATAACATAATTCCTTCAAGTCAATGGCATTACGTGAAATCTCAATAGAATCCAGCGGATTGCGCAACACGAGGACTCTCAGCATCTCAACTCTTATCTCTGGACCTGTGGTGGCAGGGTCCACAATGGTTGATAACTTACCAAACAGAGTTGAAACAAAAAACATTATCATACTTCACAAAAAATGGAACGGAAACAATGTGTTGCGCAACGAAAGCTGATGATACCTGCGGAACAACAACAATACTAATAAATAAATACAGCAACTTCAAGCGCGTAACCCGAGTACTCGCTTGGGTACTGCAATTCACGCGAGACTTCCATAAGGAAAGCAAAATAATGAAAACAATTAATTATAACTTAACCAACTGCGAAGAACAACATGAGAAAAGGGAGGTTCTCAATTTAACTTTTCAAGAAATATTAGAAGCTGGCGAGATGGTTATCACAACGTCCAACGACAACATTTCAATGCAGAAATGGAGTGTTTGAAGAAGAATATGACTGTATCCAGGAAAAGCAGCCTGTTGAAACTTACACCTTTTCTCGACGAAAAAGGACTACTGCGAGTAAAGGGACGACTGATTCACTCAACTTTGCCGCCGGCATCAAAACATCCAGTTATCCTTCCTGCGTCGGGAAGGTTAACGGAGCTTATAATACAAGAGGCTCACCACGACACTCTACATGGTGGTGCACGATTCACGTTGGCACACTTACGCCAGAAATACTGGATAATTGGTGGGAATCGAACGGTGAAGAAACAGCTGCGACAATGTATAAAATGTCATCGTTTTAAACCGCACCGCAATGAACAATTAATGGCAGACTTGCCGAAAGAACGAGTCACTCCTACTAGACCGTTTACAAATACTGGAGTAGACTTTACAGGTCATGTAGACATAAAGATTAACAAAGGTCGAGGAGTTAAAACTTGTAAAGCTTACATCGCTATCTTCATCTGTACGTTCACAAAGGCCGTCCATTTGGAATTAGTTTCTGATTTGACCACACAGACTTTTCTCGCGGCCTTCAAGAGGATGTGTGCACGAAGAGGAACTCCAAAACACATGTTTTCGAACAATGGCACGAACTTCGTCGGTGCAGTGAAAATTTTACATGAAAATTTCGAACGAAACAAGACATTTCAAACGTCGTTATTTTCCGATGAATTGACCCACTTACAAGTGCAGTGGCATTTTAACGCACCTCTCTGGCCGACAGCTGGCGGACTATGGGAGGCGGCCGTTAAATCTATGAATATCTTCTTAAAAGGGTTCTAGGTGATCAGAAACTTACTTTTGAGCAGTTTACTACACTACTTATCCAAATTGAAGCTTGTTTGAACTCACGCCCGCTGTGACACTTTCTTATTGGCGGGCCACTGTTTTCACTACCGCGAGAAGAAGAAGATTTCAACCAGCAAGATTTAAGAAATAGATGGCGACTAGTGAAGCAAATAAACTTACATATCTGGAAACGCTGGTCGCGTGAATACTTACATCAACTACAGGTGCGCAGCAAATGGCAGCAACCACAGAAGGATCCAGAAGAAGGAAACTTAGTCCTTAACAATAAGGACGAATACTTACCGCCTGGCAAATGGGCTCTCGGTAGAGTGACGGAAGCCCATCCTGGTAGCGACGATAAAGTGCGAGTAGTCACATTAAAAACTAAAAGGGGTCACTTGACACGACCGATTACTAAACTTGTTCCGCTGCCCCTGAACGAAAACTTAAAACTACCGAATCAGTACAAGAATCGACAACAACTCCTAGTGCACCGACATCCATACCACGTAACACTCGATCCTGCAAAGGGAGAACACAATATTCTCTACTTACAGTACTATTGATGCTGTTTACGTTCATAAGTGCAGCACGACCACAACAATTAACTACATACAGGGTAACTTCCATAAAAAAGGATCATCCAATTTATTTTGACGAAGCTGGAAAATTACAACTAATACACAACGAATGGACGTTACTGGTGTACTTCAACCTAACATCATACTGGCAAGCCACAACAAAACTACACGATTACGTTGAAGAAATTGTCACAAAATATCGTACACACCATGTGAAACAATCGTGAACCATCTACATCACGAATTTCATCATCTAACAGAATATAACACCATGATGCTGTTGTTTAGATATCTGAAAAGGAGGTGTTTGAGACGAACACCCCTCTCAATACACATTGAGAGACAACATCGGAATGACATCGAAATGCAGCAAACGCTGCATATATCTTCAGAACACATTTCACTTTGCTGAATTCTATGTGTAGTTGCTGATTATTGAGTTTGATGATTGAGTTTGTTTTTTTGCTATGTACTGGATGCTTATCTGACTAAATCACTTCTCATTTATTCCCTCGGGAGCATGTACGGTTTTTGCACCGTACAATACTTTGGTAACTTAACAACCTACATATTGCACGTGTAAATGCTCATAAAAGACAGTTGACAACTCGCTTCACTAGCGATCGGCCACAGATAAGCATTCAAAATTATACTGTACACTTTTTACTTAATACATCAACTTATTACGGAAACTGTGGTTTGCGTCAACTCTATATCCTACTCTACTTAATAATACTCCAATCTTAGACGTTCAGAGAACCATACAATGCAGGTTGTCATATCTATGGAGTGTGAAAACATCTACTTGTCTTTAGAAGATGCTGTCTGCATATGTTTAACACTTAAAGGGTATAATAGTTCAGGTTATGAATATAATATAATAATATAAATAAAATAGAAATCGTTATATATTAATACATATAATTCCCATGTAGGGAATTTGGGAAATGAATTTCAGTATTTATTATAATTTTTTTCATTTATTATAAACATAATAGAATTTACATATAATATAATTGCAGTGTCACAAAAACCACTTTAGGTTTTTGCACTGCCACTCGTCATCTAGTACAAATACATATTACATTTAACATTAATGTGTAGTTTAGTAATAGAAATTATCAGCTCAACAAACACTGTTAATTTAGTTGTAGGGTAAGATACTGACCGATCGACAAACCCAGAGATAACGAACTTTGCAAAATTGTGCCAGATACATTTCTTACACTCTATTCAATAGTACATTGTATTAATATCCAGTGTATACCATACACATGTTCATACACATACTCATAACATATAATGTTCTATTAATATTTGTTTTGTAATAATTTAAGAAATGTTTTTACCTGCGTTTGCCTGTAACTTATTTTGAATGTTTATTTTATAAATTTGTTGTTTGAAAGTTATAGGCAGATCGTTTTTAAACTTTGGTATTTGTCGTTGTTGTTTAAATTTTATCGATTCCTCGAGTGATAATTCGGGCCGTTTTTGAGAACTAACGGAATCCGAATTTACTAAAACATATCCATTTTATTCCGTGCCGCACTTGTCTCATAAATGAAACCAACAATGGATGTGTTCGATTGTATAACAATAATAAATAATAATAGTATAGACTGACTGTGTATAAAGATAGTCCCACTTAATGCGGATTGGGAACTTCACACACATAATTAAATTGCTTTGCAAATGTGTGCTGGATCCCACGCGATATTTTCCTTCACTGCTCATGCTCATGATAAATTTCAAATGAAATTTCGCGTATAAAGTCCGAAACTCCTGCAAGCCTAGACTCGAACCCGCGACTTTCAGCTTAAAAGACGGTAGATCAAAGCATCAGGCTACCAATGCTATAATATATGACTGTATAGAAATAAAAAACGGATGAGTCGAATGAAAAATTATATAATTGTTTCTTCACGAACAGTATTATCCTGCGGTATAATACTGCTAAAAAATATACGATATGTGTAAAAAGTGTGTAAATCACAATTATGCTATTGTTGTTGCAGTGGATCTACGCAGGCTGTGCAAAAACGTAGTGCGTCTGCACCACGCGGCGATCACCAAGATGGACTAGGGTTTGTAGTTATTGGCGCTAAGTTATCGCTGACAATGACTGACCTCTTTTTCACTTACATTATTGTATTGCCTACAATTTGCTTTCTTATAATTTACTTTTGATTTGCTTACTTTCCTGATTACTTTTTGAAACGTTGATTAGTATCTATTGAAAACATCGCGTTACAGCATCTATGTTAGTATTCTATATAGAATTTGTTGCAGATGTATTTAAATAAATAAATAAAAAACTTAGTTAATGTTGATTTCTTTTTATTTGCCTTAATATAAAAATAAATTCAATTTATTAAATTTCAATTTTTAAAGATATGTATCTTCTCCCCCGTGATCCACTTATTGAGTAGCTACACCTTGGTAGACCACGAGGATATTATTTTATCTATATGGTCCACCTAGGTGGATACCGTAGTAATAGGAACTTTATGCGGGCAGTACACTTACTCAAATCAAATTAATGTGTACGTAAAATCATTGTCCCACGAACTATTAAGTCTTTTTTTGTGAAAACAATTTTGGCATAGTTATTTTTTGGTCATAAAAATGAACAAAATTGGTCAAAACTTTTTAGTGCTGATCGACTCAGTTTTATGTAAAAATCATTTCATTGTAGAGGACAAAAAAATCGAAATAGCAGAAGTTGGCCAAATTTCATAAAATGTTTATATATATTTATTTACTTATAAGGATGACTTCATTGTATCGGAAGAATAAAAATTGTGACAGCAGCAGTTGGTCAAATTAAAAAAAAATACATACAAAATGAATAACATTTTATAAAGTTGTAACTAGTGTTGCCTGTGATTGATTATGCTGACGTGTGTTACAGTAACATCTCTCAAGTCTTTTTGAATAGATTAGATCGTCTTCTTAACAACTGCATTAGGTTTATTTTTGGTCTGCGGAAGTATGACCATATATCTGCTTGTCGTCGTCAACTAAATTGGCTTCCCATCCGTGAACGCAGGTCCTTAAGAATTTTAACCACTCTTTTCTCCATCTTGTTCGACCCGGCTGCACCTGATTATCTTAAATGTTCATTTCAATTTCAAAACGCTCGGCCGGGTTGCGAATTTCGATCTTCCCGTAGCCTTAAGCTTTCCATTCCTTCTCATCGCACTGATTTTTTGTCTAATTCTTTTACCCTTCATGCAATTCGTCTTTGGAACGCGCTCCCGCTCCATATAAGACAAGCTCAGACCAAATTATCTTTCAAGCGCATGTTGCGCAAGCATCTGTTTGACAATAGTCAAAATTAAGACACTGTTTAATGTTGCTTTGGGTACATATATCATATTATTTATTATTATAATATATATATGTAAGTTTATTATGTATGTATAATAAGTATGTTTATTGTATGTTATTTATTTATACCATACAAATTATCGATTCGTTTTCTAGTATTTCTATTTCTTTTTGTTTAAGTGTAGCACCAACCTATTGTGTTTTTTTTTCTGTTTGGCCCAATGGTTGACTGGTAGAGAATGCCTTATGGCATTAAGTCCGCCATTTGTACTTCAGTGTATTGTACAATAAAGTTTAAATAAATAAATAAATAAATAAATAAAGTTTAACAGCTTCTGCTGTCCCGATTTTTTCGTTCCACATAATGAAATCATCATTACAAGAAACTGCGTAAGTATATCAGCATTAAAAAAATTTGTTCATTTTGTATAAAAAACATTATACAAACAACCTAAGAACTCGATAACACTTCATGAAATTAGAGCAACTTCAGCTGTCCCAATTTTTTCGTTCCTTACAATGAAATGATCGTTACATAAATATGAGTCGATCAGCACTAAAAAAAAATTGTACCAATTTTATTCATTTTTATGGACAACTCACGCTTGACCAAAAAATTTACTATGCCAAAATTGTTTTCTTAAACAAAGATTTAATATTCCCTAAGGCAATTTGGTATCTAGTTCATAAATACTCTTTTTTTTTTTAATAAATACGTTAATAAATACTCGCTCATAAAAAAAAAATAATACATTAGGTAATCTACTTGGTACTTGGTACTTGGTGCAACGGGCTGGTATCCGCAACTCGACGACAAAGCGCCTATTTTGCGTGTGGTGGGTGCAGGGTCCTACTCGTGCCACCCAAGCTCCTCCAGGAATCTCAGCAGCCTCCTTGGTTTGCTGAAGACTTCGGGGAGCGACCTTGGCACTCCAAGGTATTTTGCCCTGTAGTTGGCCACGCCGGAGCACTGAAGTAGGATGTGCGCAGCCGTTTCCTCCCCCTCCATGCACGCTCTGCATAGAGGGCTGTCTGTGATACCTAAATTGAAAAGGTGTTTATTATATGGACCATGACCCGTTAGGGCGGCAGTTAGAGTGCGAAGCTCTTGCCTTTTAAGTTTAATTAGTATTCGAGATAGACTGGCATTGAGCGTTGGGAGTGCTTCCCTCGCCTGTCTACAAACCGTAAGGGTGGTCCATGTATTATTATGTGAAGATTTTGTACCTTTGTGTATAGTTGTTCTAGACCATTGGGAGGGGAGGGACACTATCGGTTCTGGTCCTACAGCGTCCGTCTCCGACCCTTTCCTGGCTAGTTCATCTGCTGCATCATTGCCACGTGAGCCGCTGTGTCCTTTAATCCACTGAAGAGTTACGTGGTTTTGTATACATACCTCCATGAGTGCTTGATGGCATTCGTAAATGAGCCCTGAGTTTATGTCATAGCTATTCAGTGCTTGAAGTACTGACATACTGTCGGAGAGTATTCGAATGGAGTAGTTCTTTACTCTTCTCGCTATGATTGCTTCTGCTGCCAACTTGATGCCCATGCATTCAGCCTGGAATACTGTGTTGTGGTCACCAAGCGGTGCTGATATCCTGATATTGAGGTCTTCTGAGAATACCCCAGTACCTGTTCCTGAGTTTGTTTTA